GGCTGCCACTGGGGCCAGAACAGGGCCAGAGCTCCCTGGCCACTGGAGCCAGAACTCCTCCCAGCTGAGTCACCATCTCCTCAGCCCCCAATGCACTCCTGCCCCGCCACTCTGTTCCTGGGCTTTGTGGTTTAGGGAGATACAATCTGCATTATCCCCATTTTACAGATGAGGAATGAAGTAGAGAAAGATAACACAGGAAGTCTGTGGAGCTGTGGGAACGGATCCAGATTTCCTGACTCTCAGTCCTAGGCTATAGCCACTGACCACACTGCCTTTGGGAAAGACAAAAAGTATTCATGTCATGCTCATACAGATGAGCAAGAGCTGGGAAGGCAGCATTCAGTAAGACCTCCTGGTTTTGCGATAGAGTACCAGTTCCACACTGCCATGTTAAAATCTATGCTGTGAGGCCATTCACGTGCAAATTGTTCGAGAAGTGCATGTAGTGACCTTCTCAGCTAGACCACATAAATAACAGCACTCTATTACTGCCAAGCAACAAAATTATTTCATTAGCTTAAGCGATAAGCTAATGACTTGTGGTGGAGATTGTTAAACCTGCTGTTTTTTTATATTCTGGCTATTCAGACCAAGGAAAAGCATTGTACGCAGAACACAGCTTTCTAACATGTCGCAATCTATTGTACCCCTATCTCCCAGTTTAGAAGTAAATAATATTACCCTATTGGCAGATGGTATAGAAAATCTGGCACTGCATTGTCCCACTGGGCACATACTTGACTATCAGTTTTAACTGTCCTGACAAGTGCTCCTCTCTATGTCAATGGAGTTTCTTTATTACAATTTATGGGTGGGGCTTGTAGACTTCACCAGTCAGTTGAATTCCACAGCATCATGTGCTGGAACCAGTGATCAACTGAACATTTGGATTGAGATAGAACCTGCAGGGTGACCAGATGCTCTGGGCTCTGCTTGGCCTACTTTTCTGCAGCCTTACTTGCTCTCTGCCTTCTCTAAAGCAGGGGCTATCAAATTTCCTGCTCTGTGACAGTGCAGGAAGTAAGGCTGATGCTTTGTGGAGCCATGGACCAGTGCAGGCACCTGCGTCCATCCCAAGGACGCTCGTGGGGCATTTTCCTGGTTTACAGCGCAATCTTCTTCACATCTCTTCCTTCTCAAGGCATCACTTTAGTATTTGAAACATACACAAAGGGAGCAGTGCTAGCCTCTCCTAGCAGGCCTTTGCCCTCACATTTAGCAATAAAGGTTTCTACAGGGAATTGCAGCACTGACCTACTGCTTAGCACTAGAGGAAGACAGGTAGCTCAGGGGCTTTGCCTTCTGCTGTCATTCTATGGAGAGCACCCAGCTCTGCACGTACCTGCTGTGGCTTGTCTCTCACATGTGGTCCACAAGCTACTCAAACCCCAGTAAGGGCCTCATGGGACCCCCCTTTCCCCACAGGCCTAGGCCTTATGGTGCCCCACTGCCCACCACAGGCCCTTTACTTCTAGGGATGCAATAGTGTAGTCAGTTAAACAATTAACCGATAAGTGAAAGCTTATCCGTTAATGCTACTGAATACACATATTACCCAACCCCTGCAAAAGTTTCTCTAGTAAATTTTTTAGAGGGCTGGCCAGCAGCCTGGCTCAGTCTGGTCCCAGGAGCTCTCACCTCCCTGCCCCCAGGATGAGCCGGGACTAAGCAGAGCTGTCTACCCACTGGCTCCTAAAATACTTTCCCTGCAGAGCCACAAAAGGGGTAGTTCCCCAGCACAAGCCCTGAGTTGGGCTGCCTGCCAGCTCCTAAATTACTTTTTATGCAGAGCCAAGGGTTGGAGGGGGTAAGATCCCAGGACTGCGTGTTTGCAGAGCTAACACATACTGATCGAGTAGTCAACAACATTTTTGTCAACTACACAATTAATGAATTACACGCTTCTTAACATCCCTACTTACTTCTCCTTAACTCCCCTGTCTCTTCCTCACTTCAGAGTACTCTTGGAACTAGGGATGTGAATATACAACTGTGTAAATGGTTAACAGATAAGCCTGGGCTTACTGGTGAATGTTCATGGTTACAAGCAGGCTCCCGCTCCGTGCTTGGGGAGCCAGCTGCTGCCGGATACAGAAACAGGGATATTAAAATGTGTGTGATTAAAGTAACTGTGCAACTGCTGAAAATATCAGCAGTCACACATTTACATGCAGGGTGGCAGTCAGCAACCTGGGAGCTGGTGCACAAGGGGGAGCTGGCTCCCTGTGAGTATCTGTTCCTGCCTGCCGGGGAGCCCGCATGTCACCGTTAACGGGCGAGCCCAGGCTCTTCGTTTCACCAGGCAGGCAGTGACACCTGCGCAATCCCCCACAGCAGGGCAGCAGCGCAGGGGGCAGCCGGCAACAGGACACCAGCTGG